ACTGACAGGGACCAGGGGTGAGGGGGGAAGGGGGAAGGGAATGATGGGGGAATGAAGCAGAAGCAGAATACGTACAAAGGACCCATGGACAAGGACAATGGGAAGGGGATTGTCTCTGGGAGTGTGAGTTGGACAGGGCGGTGGGGGGCGAATGAGGGGGGGGAGGAAATGGGGACAACTGTAACTAAACAACAATTAAAAAACAAAAGTAAAGAAAAAAGGAAAGGTCTCTGGTTCCATTCCCGGTCAGGGCACATGCCTGGATTGTAGGCCAGGTCCCAGTTGGGGGTGAGAAGAAACCAACTGCATACCAATGTTTCTCCCCCTCTCTTGCTCTCTCCCTTCTCCTTTTTCTCTCTCTAAAATAACATCTTTTTTTAAAAAGGGGGATGTATAACACTACACTCTTGCAAATCTCAGGATACTGTGGCATACTTAATCATACCACAGCTATTTTCTGAACAGTGTATTTTTACACAGAAAGTGACAATATGGTATGTCAAATAGGGGGCAGGGATTAGGGGACAAAATGTATTTTTATTTTACCCACAGGAAAAGGAATTAATTAGGTTAGGCCCTGTAATATGGGAAATCTTCAGAACACAGGGAAAAATAAAAAATACTGCCATCTGAAAGACTTGAAACTCTTCCAAACAAGATCTTATGGGTTAAGTATACTCATTCTAAATTTTTTTTTTAAAGATTTTATTTATTTTTAGGAGGGAAAGGGAGGAGAAAGAGGGAGGGAAACATCAATGTGTGGTTGCCTCTTGTACACCCCTCCACTAGGGACCTGGCCTGCAACCCAGGCATGTACCCTAGACTGGGAATCAAACCAGTGACCCTTTGATTTGCAGGCTGGCACCCAATCCACTAAGCCACACCAGCCAGGGAAGTACACTCATTCTAAATATACCAACACTGGGGAACACACAAGATTGTATTGGTAAGGGGATCCAAACAGGTTATTGTAAGCATGAAATTTTAGCTGTTCTTCCCATCAGGGATAACAAATCTAAATGAAAACCAACTTTCTAACCTCAAGTCAAAAGAAATGGAATTATTAGGCTCCTTCTCTGCATATTTTGAGACAAAGACAAGGTAAGGGGTCAGAGGAGTTGGGAACCAGTAACCGCAAATAGGAGGAGGTGTTATAGGTGTGTGTGCTAGAAATAAATGGAAACCAGGTTAGGTCCATGCTAAAGATCAATCCTAGTCATTCATTCATAATTACCCAGGATTTCAACCCTTCATAGAAATTAGGCAAGTTGGAGAACACAAAACACTTAAATTTACATTGACATTTAGATCCCTCCTTTAGGATTATTTCTTAAGGAGCTTTGGTTGTAAACATTAGATACGGCTGGAGCTTTCTAGCACCTGAGAATTGATCCAACCATCTGATAAATAACTTCACTGTGCCCAGGGGTTCCTGCCTTCATGGCAGTTCCCAGGTACCCTCCAACTATCAAATAACTATCAAAGAAGCAACTTTTCTTATTTACAGAGGTACCAAGCTCCTTACTACACAAAATTCCTTGAGAGTAGGAACAATGATTAGCACCCAGAGTACCTTCTAGCTTCATTTTCAATGATGGAAGTATTCTGTATGCGAGCTGTTCAAGAGGGAGACCGCTGGCCACATGCAGCTTTTGGGCACTTGAAATATGGTTAGTGTACCTGAGGAACTGAATTTTAAATTTAATTTTACTTAAATTTAAGTAGTTGCATGTGGCTAGTAGCTGCATGTGGCTAGTTGCTACATATGGAGAGCACAGCTCTAGACTGAGAATTGCAAATCGAGTGCCCACAAGGGTCAGGTAAAGTGCAGGGGAAAGACCTTTGGCAAACTAGAGCAGAGCCACAAAGAGGGAAGCAGTCTTTGGCTCCAGGTGACTGTTGCCATGTAGGAACCTCAAGTTGCTGCTGCCAGACTGTCTCATTTTTCAAGTGAAGCCAAAAATCTGGATTTTGATACCAAATTTTATTTATTTAAATTTTTATGAGTTTATTTGAGCCAAACTGACAACATGCCAGGAAACAAGATATGAAAAGCCTCTAACGTCCAATTTTTAAATGTTGGCAAGTAAATTAGAAAATAATTTAAATCACCCTGGCTGGGTGACTCAGTTGGTTGGAATGTCATCCCGTACACCAAAAGGCTGTGGGTTCAAATCCCTGGTCAGGGCTTGTATCTTGGTTACGGTTTGATACCTGGTTGGGAGGTAACAGATCTTTGTTTCTTTCTTATATAAGATGTTTTTCTCTTGCTCCCTCCCCCTCCCTTCCTTTCTCTCTAAAAATCAATAAACACATCCTTGATGAGGATTAAAAAAAAATTCAAATCACTTTGTGAGCTGAACAAAATGTTTACAGGCAACATCTTTCTTTCCAGTTTGCAACCTCCATCCAGGCCAGTCCCTTCTACCCAAAAAGAGCCTTATCCAAGGCCACTCTGCTGGTCAATAGCAGATTCAAGACTGAAACCCAGGTCTTCTGATTCTTCTGATACTCTTTCTCAACTTTATGACATTGATCATATCTATATTGTGTGGCAGTGGTGGCAGCAACAGGGACAACATCCCCTTTGTCAGAAGTCTATGGCTACTATGTTATGAATGCTGTTTGTACCTGGCTATAACCACATGTTGAGCCCTATGGGTAAGGCTCTACACTAGGAGCCAGCACGTTACAAAGAAATAGTCTGTGGGGGAGACAGACATACAAACAATTAGCAACCAAAGTCTGGTTTGCTATAATGGGCCCAAATCACATAGGCACAAGTCCAGAAGCACTGCTCTCAGGAGAGGGAAAGATTTAAGCCAGATCTTAAAGGATGACTAGAAGCCGGCTAGTGGGTGGATGAGTCTCACTGATTATAAGGCATCTTTGAGGACGTGTCTGTGTTGTTAAGTTTCCTTTTCAGGTTTCTCCTTCTCTAGGTAATCTCTAAATATAAAGAGCCCCCCGAAGTTGAGAGGCCTAGGAGATCTAGAAATAAACCCCAACCTACATTTATTATCTCCATGACCTTTCCCCTCATTTGCATATCTAACTTCTCAACATCTTCACCTGGATGGTTAACAGACTTACCAAACTTACATTTACAAGAGCATTTATGGTAATTCGTTCCAGTTTTCCCTTAGGAGCCATCCTTGGTTCATCCTTCTCCTATTCACTGCATGTACAATTCTGCAGCAAGTCCTACAAGCTCTACTTCCAAAATATACTGAGGGTGAGCTCTCCCTCCCAGAGGCACACTCGCGCTTTTCGCCGTCCCCAGCCTCTACATTAAGCGCATTACCTTTGCCATTCTCTATCCTATACTCCCAGGGCCCTTATTTTGCCTCTGTTGATTTCTAACTAAACTTTCTCTTATAACACTGTGAATGTAACTCTCTCGTTTAATTTAATCCACTGCTACTGCAACACTGCCTTCATCTCTCCTTGGTTACTGCAGCAGCCTCCTAACAGGTCTGACAACTTCCACCCTTCTCCATCCAGCAGCAACGAATGATTTTTTTTTTTTTTTGAACCTAAGTCAGATCACGTCGCTTCCCTTCTTAAAACCGTCCTATACAACCAAACCCTTACCTTGGGCTAAAAGGCTCTGCTTGATCAGGCCCTGCCACTTCTCCATCACAAACCACTGTTCCACCCACCTGGCCGCCTCGCATTTTCCTCCTCAGAACACTTCCTGCTGGCTTCTTTTTCCGTCTATAAAGTTCTTTAGCCAGTCCCCCTTTTCTTGGATCTCCGTAAAACCTGGCCTTCTCGGAACAGCCTTACCCGATTTAGAGTGGCGCTCGCCAACCTCCCCCCCCTGCCGCCCCCGCCTAGTCTTTTACGAGTTCACCTGGTGTTATTGTCTTTGGGGGCATTTCTCACTTGCTGATATCTTCCTCATTGATCCACTTTTTAATTTTCTCCTGAACTCGAATAAAAAGTCATGGAGCGAAGCCTCCTTTAGTGGACCGAGGGGATTATCCCTATCCTAGAAAGTCTCTATATTTTGTACGGGCCTTCGTTTGGGTCAACCTTCACAGACTAACTGTTCTCGCCTCTGGAATTGCTCCTGCTATACAGTCGGGGATCCAAAGGATTCAGAATAGTTTCAGATGGGCCGCAATCCGGCACCCCGGTGTCCCCCAACCAGGCCTCCCCTTCCTGGCCCTCCGGCCGCTTCGCTCCGAAGGTTCTTCGGGCCAGAGGCGCTGACCCGGAGCCGCCCTCGCGAGGCTGGCCGGGGGGGGGGGGGTCACACAAAAGCGTCTCCTAGCAACGTCCCAGCCCTCCACTCCCACCCTATCCCTGCCCCAGGGGAGCCAACCCATTCCCCCAGTCTTCCGCGCCAGGAGTCCGCCTCTCCATCCTGTACACTCACGCAGCGTTACTCCTGCCTTCCCCCACCCACAGAAGCGCTACAGCCCTAGGCAGGCTGGGAGGAGGTGGCGCCAGGAGCCTTAGCTGAGCCGCGGCGGCCGACGGAGCTCCGGCCGGTCTTGCAGGCCAGACCAGACCAAACCACTGAGCGGACCTCTGTGGGAGAACTGCCCCAGGTCTGAGGTAGTCTCGAGCCTCCCTCAAACCTCAAACTCTAGCCCACCCTCCTCCCAACAGTATAGCCAACTTCATCCTCTCTCCCTGTTTTCCCTTTATCCCTTTCGCTATCTTTTCCCCTCTTCCAGCCTCCCAAATGGTTCAGTCCAGCTCCTCCTAGCCCTTCCTCCACGGTGCTAGGTCTTTGCCCTTACTTGGTGACGGCTTCGTACGTCTTTGCGTACGTCGTGATGCAATCTTCCCCATTCCCTCCCCGCCTGTCTTCCATTCTTACTCTCGGAGCCGGCTGCCTGCGGGGTTACCGGAAGTGATGATGCAGGAGGGATGGAGGGGCGGGGCTCCGGGGCGGCTGCGGCCGGTGGGCCGCAGATGAAGACGAGGCGGCAGCAGTGGTGGAGGAAGAGGCGGCGGCGGGGACGCCGGCGGCAGGGGTAGGGAGCCTGGAAACGCGAGCGGGGATGGTAGGTGGTTTGGACCCGCCGGGCCGCCGTCGTTTCCAGAAAGGGTTTGACTGGAGGAACCTCTGGAGCAACTGTGAGTTGGGGGGAGGGGTCGAGCAAAAGGGGGGAACATTTAGTGCTGAAGGGGCGGGGGTTGGGTACCTCGGAGAAAGGGGGGGAAGGGGAGGAGTGGAAGTCAGCGCCTTGTCTGGACTGGTTCCTCTGGAAGGAGAGGAGGTGAGGGGAGCCTGTGGCGTGTCAGCCGCAGGTCTCAGAAAACTTAACCTACTGTCCCTGCCTCCTCACCGCCAGCACCCCTCAACCCAGGGTTTGGGGGCTGGAGCTGCCCTGGAAGGGGTGCAGACTCTGGTCCTGTGCCCCGGGTAAGCGCTGGAAGGTGGGAGCCCAGGCGGGAGGTGAACCCCGGGCGGGAAGTGGTGGGTGAATCTCCAACTCCCTCCGCTCTCATTTCCTTCCCCACCCCCATCCTTCTCTATAATCATTAACAGCCCTGGAATTGAGGGGCTCAGACCTGAAGGCCTTTCTCTGCACCTTTGCTATAAACGATAACCATCAGTGCCCGAAGTAGTGGAGCTGGAGGCTTTGCCTGTATCCTGTGTAGGAAGTGGGACGAGGTGACAAATGTATTGTCTTTTTTCCCCATTGACTCTCACTCCTCATCCCCCTCCCCAACACACCCCTTATTTTCACGACAGTTTTCTCTGGTTAGGTGGTAATCGAGAGGGTTTCCTCCCACCCCCCTCTTTGTGGCACTTGATACCTTGGTCCCCCCTTTTGAATTTGGTGTTCAGCCTCCATCCAGATCTTAAATGCAAGCTTTGTAAATACTTCCGTTACAGGCTGTGTCATGTTGAGGGTACCTCTCACAGCCTGGTAACTCCTGCTTCAGATGAACATTTTCTCCAGTGAATACTGGAATTCCAGGGCCCTTGCAAGGATTTCTATATAGCATCATAACCCAGGAATCAAGATCTCTTGCTCTAAATACTTTCATTGTGAGGAATTTATATTTTGTCTACTCTTTTCAAAATGATTTGAAGTTAGACTAATTGTGGATTTCTGTGTTTCTACTTCCACCCACACTTCATGATGTACTTCAGAGAACAGAAAACCCCATGTTAATTTTTTGATTCTACACTTGGACAATAGTTCTTTTATGTATTTCTACATTTGTGTGTCTGGCACTGGAGTCTTCAGTGACACATTCAGCTTGTACTGATTACCATCTTATTTTGCTGATTCTTTTGTATAGGTGGTTTTAAATGGGAAAATGTGATCTGTTCAGTTTCGTTATAAAGAAGAACACAAACTAATAACGTGAAAAAATTATTTGAAGAAAGCAAAGAATGATTGAAAAGGTCTGTTTATTGATGTTCTGTTGGCTAAAAAAAAATCTCCAAGTAGCGTGCTTGCTCCTTCATCCTGTCACAGGGATTTCACAGTGAAATGTGAAGTGTGATGACTCATATTTCGTTGTTGATACTTTCTTTCGAAACCCTCTTTTGAATTTGGAACTCTGTTTTCTGAAGAACTTTAAGAAATAGCTTTGGGATCCTTTGGTTATGAAGAATGCATGAATCCTGACCCTCTGTGACTCGAGTGTAAATGCTTTGATTGTTACTAGTGACAGCATGTTTAGGTGTTTCACAGAAATGCAACAAAAGAATAACTGCTGCTCTCACCTGGAATTACTGATCTGGATCACCTGGAATAATTGATCTGGAATTACTGAATAAAAGGTCCAGAATTATTCATTCAATAGGCATTTGTGAATGGCTACATAGCCGGTTTCGGGCACTGGGGTGCAAAGATGAACATAAGCATAATCTCCATTCTTAGGCAGCTTACATTGGGGTGGTGACACACAATAAAGAAACAAATCATATTTTGATAAGTGCCAAAGAAAACAAGAGTCATGTGATAGAAAATGATGGGGATGCAGTCAAAGAACTTTCTGAGGAGGTGACTAAAAAGTAGCCAGCATGGGGAGGAGCCTCCTGGGTTGGAGTGATTTTGGCAAGTTTCTGGGGACTGGGAGGAAAGGGACAGGGTGGAGATGGGGTGGAAGGTCCAGGGAAGACAGGGAAGGGGCATCAGTAGTAACCAGAGCCTAGTAAGCAAAAGGGAGAGTGAAAAGAACCCAAGTCAAAGAGGTGGAGGCTTGGCAAATAAGGTGGAAAAGGGATAGAGAATGATGTTCCTTTTGAATCTTTCTATTGTTTTTCGTAGAGTCTTATCACTTACTGTTTTGTAGGTACTGATGGGCTATTGTAATCAAAAAAAGAGTCATCCTGCTGAGAGTGGGAGAGGAGTTGGCTATGGTCACCCGAGTCTTTTCTGGCAGCTAAAGCTCAAGTTCTGTGTTCATAATTCAGTGGATGTTCAATTGAGAATATATCTTTTTTCCTTGCAGGATTTTTGTCCTATATACCGCTATTTAAAACTGCTTAACGAGTACCCTGAATGTGTTTTAATATTCTCCTTTGATTCCAGTTGTGTATGAAGTTAAGGTAGAAGGTTGGGCAAGTGATAATAATACGCCCCTGTTGGTCTGTAAAGATGACCAGCAACATCTAAGTTGAAGTTGGTTTTAATAGGGAGGTAGGTTTTATGTTGCAATATTTCCACTCGTGTCTGGTCCACTGATGACCAGTAATACTCAGCTGAGATGTGGGTTGGTGCTAAAAGTTCACTCAGTGGATTACATTAGGTAAATGGCCATTGTGGGCCCATTCCCACTGTATCTGCGTCTTTGGACTGGCATGTAACCATTTTTGCTTTTTGTTGGGGTCATTCATCTCCAATAGTCAGCTACTCTTCAGCATCACCTTGACAAGATTGTCTGCTTGAAAGGACCAGTCTGGACTCCTTGATTTGGTTCTCTTGAACCGTGTTAAAGTGGGCTAAAACAGAATAAGCTGTTTTCTTCTTTTAAACCCCACAACAGTGATTAGTGTGTTCTTTGAGTGAATTGGTTTTTGAGTTGGGGTTAAAAGACTTAAATGTTGCTTGGTCTACTTGTATTAAAGTCAGTATTAGAAATGCTAACTAAAACCTTTTAGTGTTTGGAGAAAACAGTCAGAAATTGAGGACTTGTCACCTGTTGTAGGTTCTAGTGATTCAGTAGCATGGGTAGGTGGATTGTCAGAATGTAAATTAAATGCTTCCTGGGCAGTCTTGAAGGGGACGGAATAGAGGGCCTGGTACTGAATTACTAAATTCCAACTTGAGTGTAAATAGAAAGTCATTTAGTTATCAAGCAAGTGACCAGCGTGTACAGCTAGGGTGAGGCAGACAGTACACTCTACCCTTTGTACTGCAGAGTAGCTCAGAGGAATGGACAATTCCTTTGTGATTCTCCATATGTTGGGGGTGGGGAGGCCCCAAAAAACCCCATAATTTATTTATTCTTACATGTTTAAATTTAAACTTCAGTGACCTTCAGAGTATTCTCCACTTGATGCAGTACTCCTGTTGAGACACATTTTTTCCATTGCTCAGTTTTTGAATTCATCAATTTCGACACCTGTTTTGTTTCACTTCTTCCATGTCTGCAAAATGCGTCCCTTTGAGGACTTTTTTCATCCTGGGAAACAAAAAAAAAAAAGTCATTCGGGCGAGATGAGGTGAATAGGGAAGGTGGGGAAGGGGGGGAAGTGCTGTTTTTGGTCAAAAATTGCTGAACATTGAGCGTTGTGTGGGCAAGTGTGCTTCTAAATCACCCATCATGAAATGTGCAAATGTGTTGAAAGAGTCTTCAAAAAAAATTCACTGATGCTAAACACAGCCTCTCACAACAGTGCCAGCTGTTACACTGATACAGGTAGGTTCCCAGAACACTCCCCTAGTGGGGAAAGCATGTAACTACAAGGGGCCCACCCTTCAGAACATAATTCCATTGTGGGGTTTTTTTGGGGTTTTTTTTGGAGCCACTCTCCCTATATATCCATGAGAATAATTTGACTTTGGCCTAGGTTATAGAATTTTGCACTTTGTGTCCTAAACCTGGGTTATACATGCTCCAGTCAACAGATTATTTTTTAAATACATGTTTTATTGATCATTCTATTATAGTTGTCCCATTTTTTTCCTCCCCTTTATTTCCTTCCACCCTGCACTGCCCCACCCCACAACAGTCCCCTCACCCCCCCTTAGTTCATGTCCATGGGTCGTACATATAAGTTTTTTGGCTTCTCCATTTCCTATACTATTCCTATCCTCCCCTGCCTATTTTGTACCTACAATTTGTGCTGCTTATTCCCCATACGTTTTTCCCCCATTCTTCCCTCTCCTCCTACCCTCTGTTTTACTGTTCATAGTTTTTGATCTTCTTTTTCTTAGGTAAGTCCTTTTAACATTTCATGTAATAAAGGCTTGGTGATAATGAACTCCTTTAACTTTACCTTCTCTGGGAAGCACTTTATCTGCCCTTCCATTTTAAATGCTGGCTTTGCTGGATAGAGTAATCTTGGATGTAGGTCCCTGCTTTTCATGACTTTGAAAACTTGTTGCCAGCCCCTTCTTGCCTGCAAGGTTTCTTTTGAGAAATCAGCTGATAGTCTTATGGGAACTCCTTTGTAGGTAACTGTCTCCTTTCCTCTTGCTGCTTTGAAGATTCTATCCTTAACTTTAATCTTGGGTGACTTAATTATGATGTGCCTTGGTGTGTGCTTCTTGGGTCCAACTTCTTTGGGACTCTGAGCTTCCTGGATCTTCTGGAAGTCTATTTCCTTGGCCAGATTGGGGAAATTCTCCTTCATTATTTTTTCACATAAGTTTTCAATTTCTTGCTCTTCCTGGAGAAAATCAAGAGGGCAGAAGAGTGAATGGAAGTCACACTGACCTCCTGCTAGGACCAATCTGGAATTACAACTAAATTGTGGAGAAATCACCTGGAGCAAATAACTAAACAATAGTGAGAGAAGAACCTTATAACCTCGGACAGAATGAAGAATCAGCATTAGCACAACCTAACTGGTAAGGAATGCGATAGAGACTGGAGAAGGCAGGTAGGGTCCCACAGGCGGCAGCACACCAGAAGGAGATTGAAATGGCCAGTTGGATCCTTCTGAG